TGTGCCAATCAATGTGGGGGGACCTCCTGTCTCCCACCTGCTTTATGCTGACGATGTTTTATTTTTTGTAGGTGCTTCTATCCCTAATGTAAGGAAGATCTTATCCATATTGGAGGATTATTGTGCATGGACTGGCTAGGGTGAATAGCAATAAATCTGTTATTCTTTTCAGCAGAAGGACTTCTTCTTCTACAAAATCTCGGCTGGCTAAGATGACTGGATGTAGGAAGGTGGAGGAGATGGAGTATCTTGGTTTGAAGTTAGCCATGAGAAGACTTAGAAAGAGGGATTTTGATTTTCAGTTACAGCAAGGTCAAGCCAAAACTTTGTCATGGGGTGTTAGGCACCTTTCTTTGGCAGGGAGAATAACCTTGATTAATGCGGTTTTGCTTCCCTCTTTGGTGTATTTTGTAACTCATTCTCCTATTCCAAAATCTGTTCTTTATGATTTGGAAAAGCTTTGTAGAAGTTTTTTATGGGATTTTGATGCCAAACACAGGAGTATTCATTATGTTGCTTGGGAAAAGATTGCTAAACCAAGGAAGTTGGGTGGCCTTGGTTTTCATGCTAGTGTTGATTGGGTTTGGCCATTAAGATCAAGAATTGCTTGGGAATTTATTAGCAAACCACAAAATCTATTTCAGACTTGTATGATGCAGAAATTTGGTAGATGAACGTGGAATGGTGAGCTGAAAAGTGGTGATTCAGTTGTTTGGAGGCTGATTTGTGACAGGGATCATAGTTTGATCTCTTGCATGCGATGGAAGGTTTGTAATGGAAAGAGTATTGATGTGGTAAATCATATATGGATTTGGGATAGATCCAATTCAAGATGGCCTACTTTTTGTGAAATTGCTGCAATTGAAGAGTTACGGGTTGCAGAGTTTATAGGCCTAGACAGAAACTGGGATAAGGATAGGCTGTTAAGCTGCTTTTGGGGAATCCTTAGCTGAAAGAATTTGTGAAATTAAAATCTGGGATGAATTGGAAGATGATGCCTTGGAACTGTTGAAATCTCCTCTTGGATCAAACATTTCTGCCACAGTTTACAACAACAGTCTTTATGAAGAGGTTGATCCGTGTTGTGCAGTTTTTAAACAAGGATTAAGGCCACGTGAAAGTATTTTCTGGTGGATGGTTTATAAGAATGTTTTGCCAACAAATTGCTGGTTGCAAAATCGTGGATTTGAGGTTGATGTATATTGTCTTTTTGGATGTTGTATGATTGAAGACTTGGACAATGTTACAACAAAGTGTAAGCAGGTGTTGGCTATATTGCAGATTTTGGACAATTGGGGGTTTGTGACTCCTCGATTTGCTTGCCTTTATGAGGTGAAGGTAATGTTGGAGAGTAAATATGGAAGTGGGGATATTTGGTGCATGTAATATTGTTGTGCTGTGTATAACAGTTGGGTGAATAGAAATTCAATAAAGCATGGGAAGGAGAAAAACACGCCGACTTTTATGGCAGCTAGTATTCTTGAAGTTCTTCACCAGGGTTGTCGTTCTAACAGCCTGGAGCAACGGAGTACTAATCAATCCTTTGGATTGTTTTCAATTTCTTCTTGGTGTCCCCCCCTACAGGTTGGTTGAAGATCAATGTGGATGGAGCTCTTCTAAGGTCCAACATTGGTGGTATTGGGAGAGCTGAAATGGTGCAATTGCATTAATACGAAAACACTAGTTACATGTAATTAACCCTATTGATGTCCTCCCTCAACAGACAAAAGTGTTGAGGGAAATTCAACAGCATTCTCATCCCAAAAAACAAAATCTACAGAAACAGCAAAATTGGCACAGTAATCAGCAGGGAGGTTGTTGGCACGGTGGTTATACCGAAAAATGTCTTGTTTGAAGTCCAATAAAAAGACAGGCCCGGACCTTTGAAATTAAAGTGAACCTTGTTCTGGCGATCATGGAGGTGCTAGAACCAGCGGATGGTGTTGGCGCAATCGCCCTCAATGATGATCCCCTCTAGGTCGAACATCCATTTCCTCAACACCTCACGAATGGCAGTGGCCACCATGACCTCGACTTGGAAAGCGTCCCAGTGCTCGATCCTTCTTCCAGCTGCCGCAATAAGTCCACCAGTGTAGTTTCGGAACACCACTCCAATACCAGCCGCACTAGACGGCCTAACCGCAGCATCGATGTTGAACTTCAACCAACCTGGAGAAGGGGGATACCAATGTAATTGAGAAGACAGCCCAGGGGACTGTTGGCTACTCCATTGCTCCAGAATTGGCATCCGGTGGGGTCGTGGCAGCAAAGAAAGAACCGTAGCGGCGATAATGGACGATGGGCGGCACTTGGTGGTATGCTTCAAATCGTTTCTGGCACGCCACACTTGGTACACAGTGTAGCAGTAGATAACACCAAGGTTCGGGTTAACCTCGGCCAAAGTAAACAACCCATCTGTCACCGCCCCGAAGGAGTCAAAGAAAGGTAGATTGAAACCCCACTTGCCGAGAATACCCATCACCTCCCTGAGTTTGGAGTAGAGTGTTATACAATGTCTAATGGTTTCCTCCCCCATCGCAGCCCCACGGGGAAGCACCATTGATCGACAGCCCCCGGCGATGGAGCCACGCATTGGTGGGGATGGCGTTCCGGAGAAGCTGCTACCAATGGAACTTCTCGCACGGGTGCAGTTTCAGTTTGTGCAGCCACCCGAACGTAAAGTACGACTCCCCGAACTTGTCCCGGCACGCCACCACCGACAAAGAAGAGCCAAAGCAAGACTTGATGAGATCGGGAATATCAGACCCCTAGCCAGAATTCGTCGCAATGTTCAGGATGCGTTGTGCCATCACCTTACTGAAGCAGCGTTCCACCGCTTCCACATTCCACTGAAAGTTATCGTCAAGCAGATGGCTAACATGGGCATTTTCCACCTCCTCCACATTCACAAAGGTAGGTAATCTCTCGGTCTTGCGGTCAAGGATCCAACAATCCTCCATAATACGGACGCGCCGGCCATCCCCAATTCGCCACCAAAGAATGGCCGCAAGAGCATCCCCCCCTGATAATTCTCCAAGTATCAGAGTACCTGGGCACTAGGGAATTAACCCAGGGATTAGGGCCATATTTGGCCGTCACCACCTTGTGGAGGAGGGACTCAGTATCGTTAATGACCGTCGAAGCTAGCCGAGCCCGGAGCGACCCCTGCCAAGAAACCAAATCATGGAACCTAGCCCCCCATGCTCGCGCGGTAGACAAAGTTCCTTCCAGCTCACATAGTGCATTCCTTTACTATCAGAATCCTTATGCCACATAAAATGGTGACCCAACATCTCTATTAATCTGAGAACACTGCATGACACCTCTGTATGTGCCATTAAGTAAGTCGGAATCGTAAGCAGCAAGGAACGAATAAGAAGCACACGGCCGGCATAGGAGAGATGCTTCTTACCCCAAATATTCATCTTGTCATGGGAACTCCAGAGAGCCTTGGCAAAGTCGGCAGCATTCAGCTTCCTCATAACCAGAGGAATTCCCAGATAGTCAAGCGAGTCCACGCTACGGTAACCCATAGTCCGAGCGATCATCCTCTGCTTCCATTTGGGGCAGCGTTTGTTAAAAAGGACAGTCGATTTCTCATTGTTAACGCATTGCCCCGTCCAGCCGCAATAGTCACTGAGAATGCTCATAATGCCCATAGCGTTGCAACGGTTAGCCTCTGCAAACATGAGGATATCATCGGCATACAATAAGTGTGAAATTCTCTCAGCATTATTAACAATGTGAATCCCCAGATGTTCTCCTCGTTGCTGGAATGCCTTTGAGAGAAGTTCAGAGTAGAGAATAAACAGATAGGGCGACAACGGGCACCCCTGTCGGAGCCCACTCAAGCCCTGGATCCAATGAGTTATGTTGCCGTTAATCATCAGAGAGAACCACGGCCTCGCAACGCAGAGAATGACCCACTTAATAATCTGGTCGGGGAACCCCAACCGGCCCATGACCTACTGGAGCGACTCCCAGGCCAACCAGTCATAAGCCTGTTCCATGTCGATCTTCAACGCCATCATCCCCGCCCATTGAAATGAGTGTTGAAATTTACACAACATCTTCTGTGCGATCAGCCAGTGACTGGAGATGGACCTCCCCGGGACAAACGAACCTTGCTCTTCACTGATAATATTGCCCAGCACAGGTTTGATACGGTTAATCAGAATTTTGGCCACGAGCTTGTAAAAAGATTGGCACATGATGATAGGCCTGAACCTCGACGGGGTGTTCGCGGTGGAAGTCTTCGGGATGAGCACAACCAGCGTGTCTTTCTAGCTCTCGCACATAGAGTTAGCACAGAAAAAATGGAGAATAGCACGAGTAACATCGCTTTTAATGATTTCCCAATAAAATTTCAAAAAAGATGTTGTAATACCATCCAAACCTGGCGAGCGGTTGTTTTCCATACTAAAGACGGCCTGCCGGACCTCCAGGTCCGACACCTTAGCCTCCATCTCCCGCTTGAGACAGTCTGGGATCATATCTTCCCGCTGGATAGCAGACCAATTGTCCAGGGAAACCTGCCTTTCTCTCCACTTCTGCGAAAAGAATTTCAAGAATTCCTCCCGGATGCAGTCCTGCTTTGAAGTTCTATCCCCATCAGACCGTTGAATTTCCACAATTCGATTCCCCCTACGCTGAGCCGAGGCGAACGTGTGAAAAAATTGTGAGTTGGAGTCACCATCCTCAATCCAGCGAATCTTCGCACATTGCCGCCACCATGTCGCCAACCGCGCCAAGGTTGAATTAAGCTCAGATGCCGACCTACGCAGTTCCAGGTCCTGATCGGCACTAAGCCCATCAGCGATGCATTCCAATAGCTGGAGTTCCGCAATTTTGTTACCGGTCTTGTTGTTCGACCATGTGAACTTCGGACCAGTAAACCCCAAATCATGCAAGTAATTGTCGACCATAAAAGCCGCCATCTCCTGGGCTCCCATCGGAAACCCAAATCGTCTACCTCCCTTCTTCTCACTTTGTTCAAGATAGTGGGGACTTTAGTCACAAACCAATAAGATCCAGACCAGACAACTCGAGCAAGCAAGTTGCCTTCTCCGGAACTCTAGATACCTTCTGATATGCAAGGTTAAGAGCAGACCTTTGTGTAAGAATGAAAACATCAGTCTCATTAATTTCGAAAGCTCCATACTTGCCCTCAGGAAGTACCCAACAGTTTGTTTGCCCATACATTGTTTCAAGTCGTAATATTGCTGCCGCCAGGAAGATGTTTCGGCCATCCAACATTTTGAACTTCGATGGAAATGGAGGGATGACCTCCATTTTAATCAAAACATAGTCTTGTGGCTGAACACCTTCACCTGAAGCTCGGTCATGATCAGCACATGACTGACCATCCAATGGAGAGTAGATAGTGTACCTCATATCCTTCACAATCTTACCCATGCCCTTGAGCTTTCTCATCTACCACTTAACAAAAGAATCATAAAAAGGATTCATATAAGTGGTAATGAAAGTGCACCGCCAGTCACAACCAAGGCCGAAAGACTTGAGATCTTCTTTTGCCAAAGGAGGGAAATAAGTAAGCCATCGATTTGGATCTTTGAATTCATCAATTTTTTGGTCTGGAAGTCCGAAGCTCCTCATAATCTCCCACTGAAACTTCTCCCTTCCAGATTTTGCAGTAGATTTTGACCGTTTGCTCTTGAACTTATCAGGGGCTACTAAATTTCCCTCTTAAATCTTGCTCTCTTCAATCTCATCTGTAAAATCCTCCTCGGAAGGAAATTAAGGTGGGTTTCCATACTGTTCCATCTCTCTTGCGAGCTTATCAGCTGATGTCTTGATGGGCATACCCGTGCAATGGAATGCAAAAGGAAGGAGAACATTTCGACCACAAAGTCGATGGTAGGTCGCAGCAAACTCAAGCTTTGATAGAGAGAAGGCATGGCCCAGATGCAAAAACCCGTTCATATAAGGGTAAGGGAAATTTCCAAAGAACTTCTCACCTGGATCAGGTGGCGCGCTTCTGGCAGTAGCCTCAAAAATCTTTTCTTCTTCCCAAAGCTTTTGGATCTGTGACTGTATCTTGAGCAATTGATCTCTCCTAGCAAAGCTTCTTCCTGCCTCAGTGTTTGCTGCCATTATCCTACATAAACCATTAAGGAAACATCAATAATGTCTAATACCTTCGATCCGAACAAAATTTAGTTTTCGAATTAGTTCCGTTCAGGAAATCAAAGTTAGAAGCAGCATAAACAAATACTAAAATAAAGTAAGAAAGTAGCAAATAAATTTAAATGCTTTATCATCTTGGTTAAAAAGACCGATAGGTTCCTTAGTTCAGTATCAGAGTTCTCATAATTTTCTAATACTTGCAAATCATGACACATGGAAGGATGGAGCGATCAGGCAACGAGATAAAGTGGGGTTTTGAGGGAACGTATGATTTGAATTATTGGATTATTTTGCAATAAAAAAAAGAAAGTAGGCTACCATATAGAGAGCAGAGAAGCTTCAATTGGGGAAGGAGAGTGGATCAATTTTTCCTTTTTTTTTTTTTGAAACAGATAGGAGAGAGATATTTTGCTAGGAGTTTGCTTGTGAGAGAATTAAGAAGCAGATGAGAATGAACACATACAGGAATTACCGAAGAAAGAGAATATAGGGGGTGAGAGCAGAAAACCAGAGTTGAATTGTTGATGATGATTCCATGAATGAAGTTGGACTCAAGTACCAACTGATTTAGAGAAGCATAGCAAGGAACTTCGACGAGCCATGAATAGTTGGAGGAAGAGAGAATAAGCTGAAATTGACTACCCAATGGAGGGCAAACTGATTTGCCTCCCTATGGTGAATCTCTAAAGAACCTTTTCAACATACTCACCTGAGACAACTTAAGTATAATGGCACTTTTATCCCTGTTAATTCTAATGCCAAAAATTTTCTTTGTTAGACTCAAATATTTCATTTCAAACTCTTTTAATAACTATTTTTTTAGATATTTTATCTTCTCCATATCTAACCCTGCAGCCACTATGTGATTCTACATACAAAAGTAGAGTAATATAACAGTTATCAAAATGTTTACAAAAATAGTAGTGATATACATGACACTTCGTATACCCTGTATCTGATATAAGCATATCATATGTCTTATACCAATGTCTTGAATGGCCTCATCATAGAACTTTGGTTCACCATCATCTATCAACAATAGATGGTGCAAGGAAGGAGAATACCTTTGTATTGACTTTGAGATTCAAGTGGATCTCTTATTTTAGTAGGAGGTGATTCTACAGGAATTCCAATAGGAATGATAAGAAGCGGTAATGATAAAAATTATGGCATAAAAATATGGCAGGCTCGGATAACAACTTGGTGAGGGCTTTTGCATGATTTTGACCTTGATTTTAGAATTTTTAGTAATTATGAGTCATCAAGAGGCTTGATGGTGTAGGCAAGGTGGGGGGGGGGGAGTCATCAAGAGGCTTGATGATGGAGACAAAGGGTGAACACCTTGAAATCTATGATCATTTTTGGTAAGCATACTAAAAGAAATATCCAAAAGAAAATTACAAAGAAACTCAATTTCAAAGTTGTGAAGGAGATGGGATATCTGGGTGTGAAATTGGCACTTAGAAGGCTGGTAGCTTCCGATTTCCAGAATCTTTTGGAGGTTGCTTCTAACAGACTTAATACTTGGGGAAAGAAATTCATATTTCTAGAGGGCAAGTTGGTTTTGGTGAAATCAGCTTTTCTCTCTTTACCTCAATTTTTATCTTCTATTTCTTTAGTTCCCTTGAGCATTTTGAAGGAGTTTAACAAGATGTGTAGAGGATTTATCTGGAGCAAAAGTAATGGAAGTGCAGGTACACATTATGCTTCTTGGGCTTTACTATGTAAACCGAAGAGGGAGGGTGGTAGAGGTTTGAAGTCTGATGTTGCTATGATTGGTCCTCTTCGTGCCAATTTCGCTTGGAACTTCTATTGGAAGCCTCATACTTTACTGAATCAGATTCTTAGAGCAAGGTATGGTAATGATGTATGGACGGAGACTGTTAAGGGAGGAAGATCTTCTACATGGAAGATAATTAATATGGGAGCTAAATTTCTCAAAAATGTTGTTAAATGGAGCATTTCAAATGGTGATTCTATCAGTTGGATGAATGATTCCTAGATTTTGGATAAATGTATTGCTAAATGGCCTACATTTGTCAATATGCAGAATACTTATGCTGAAAAGTTAAGTTTTTACCTTACAAATGGTACTTGGAACTTGGATAGGCTGGAAGACTGTTTTGGGGAACAACTAATGGAGATTATATTCCGATCAATACCAGCAGGAATTCAGATCAATTGGAACTGAATTGTAAGTTTTCAGGAAAATAAGTTACGGCTCTTGCTTTTGAAGCTACGTTGGATCATGGGGTGGATTTGGATCATTGGAGATGGTTGACGAAGATTAAGTTGAAACCAAAAACAGAACTTTTTTTGGTGGAGACTTTGCAATAAATGCATTTCCTCTAATCCTTTCTTGGTGAATAGGAAAATTTGTAATGACCCTCATTGCTCGAGAGGGTGTGGTGTTGATGAAGATGAAAGCCATTTAGTTCGTGTTTGTTTCAAAATCAGGAAAGTGATTTCTTTATTTAATAGCTGAGGCTTTATGATTCCGAATTTTGATTGTTTTCAGAATTGCCTGGATTTTCTCCAAAGAGTTAAGGGATTGAACTTTATTGGGGCAAACTTGTTTTGTACAACAGTGTTTCTAGTTTGGAAAAGCAGATGTAAGTTGATTCATGGCGATAGAGAAGATTCAGATAATAGTATAGCTGCTAATGCCATTTTGTTTGCTGTAAGCAGTAATTTCTTAAATATTCAACCACTTGTGATGTCACATGGTTTGAGTTTGCAAGCAGACTCGTAGAAATAAAACTCCTCTTCAGAAAAGGAACGTGCCTGGCATTCTTGAGTCTCCATTTTGACATACCCGTCATTTTAATATCAATATCTCCATATCCAACAATACTGCAGGGCTTGTTGCACTTTATCAAAATCACCTTGCGTATAATTTTTGAATGCCTCCTTGTTAAGACTTGCATTAAATTAAGCACATGAATTGATGTAGGATGGGAGGAGGGAGGTAATGTGAATTTGAAATTTCATATTAATTGGAAAAGGGAGGGAAGGGGTACTTAATTAATCCCTTAAATGGAGTTCCTTTTTTTGAAGGATTTAATTAAAATAGGAGAGAGATTGTAGGCCTTAATGGAGAAACATTAATTAAGTTGAGAGAAGAGATAGGAGAGGGGTGGCGGGTAGAGAGAGGAGAGGGTTTAGGGAAAGAGAATTAAAGTGGGCCTCGATTGGAATTAGAAATTGAGAAAGATTAATTGAAATCAAATCTAATCAGAAATTTAATTAGACCTAATTTAAACAACTTTCCTAAAATAAGAATCCTAATTTAGGAAACAAATTCAAATTCAAATTAATTTGAATTTTTAATTTGAATTAATTTCCAAATTAAGATGTATAAAATAGAAAGGCTTTGAATTCAAGATGAAATTGTGGGAGCCAATGAGGGAAAGAGAATTAGAGAGAAATCTCTAATCAATTTTTGATTTGAGAGGATTTGTGAGTTTCCAAAATAAATCAATCTCTTTTTAAGAAAGGTTTTCAAATTCAATTTAATTTGAATTTGAACTTTGAATTCTTTCAAAAGTTAAGATGATCTAAATTAGGAAAGTATTCAATTCTATCCCTAGTAGAGATTAGGAAAGAAAGGAAGGGGGAAGGTAGTGGCGTGGGTGGTTGCGGCCGGTGGTTAAGAGAGGAGATCTAGTGGGAGGTCAACGGTGTGAAGGAGGATGAGGGGAGCCGATGGTGGAAAGAAGGTGGCCGACAGCTATGGAGGTATTAGGGTTACGGTTTTTGAGGATGTTGGCGGTTTGTGGGCGGGGGGAAGATGGCCGGTTTGGCGTAAGAGGAGGATGGGGAATTGAGGTGGGGAAGAAGAGAGGGTTGTGGGAAGAGGCCGACGGGTTTGGTTGAAGGAGGGATGAAGCCGTCTGAATTGGAGAAAGGATGGAGATGAAGATTAGAAAAAAAAATAAGGAGAACCAAAAAAATAAAGAAAACATGAGCTCGGACGCTTCCTACGGCTGACGGGTGCTATGTTTCCCCTCACCAAGGGACTTCAAGCCACGAGCCCGAACCCATCCTACGGCTGGTGGACGCTATGATTCCCTCCCATAAGAATCTCACCTAATTCCTACCAAGGAACAAAAGTGCAGAACAAAATTTTTATTAAAACTCCATCATACTAATACAAGAGCAAAAGCCTCTATATATAGGTCTTAAAAGAAACTAAAAGACAATTTTGCCCCTTGGGCTTAAATAAGACAAGGCCCTTAAGGGTAAAAAAAATGAAAAATGCATAATTAAATAAAAAAATACAATTAATAAACTAAGATAAAAATGGAGGGATATGGGCCGTTGATCTTCGTCTCTTCCTTTGATTAACATCCACTATCGGATGTCCGCATCATTCTTTCGGGGTGGAAAAGAGCTCGACTCCATCAAGTTTGCATCTCGGGTAACCATGCTCTTGATACCAAACTAATGTAGGACGGGAGGAGGAAGGTCATGTGAATTTGAAATTTCAAATTAATTGGAAAATAAAGGGACGGGATACTTAATTAATCCCTTAAATGGAGTTCTACTTTTTTTTTTTGGAGTTAATTAAAATAGGAGAGAGATTGGGGGCCTTAATGGAGAAACTTTAATTAAGTAGAGAAAGGAGATATGAGAGAGGGGCGGTGGGTAGGGAGAGGAGAGGGTTTAGGGAAAGAGAATTAAAGTGGGCCTTGATAGGAATCTGAAATTGAGGAAGATTAATTGATATCAAATCCAATCAGAAATTTAATTGGACCTAATTTAAACAAATTTTTTAAAATAAGAATCCTAATTTAAGAAAAAAATTCAAATTCAAATTAATTTGAATTTTTAATTTGAATTCGTTACCAAATTAAGAAGTATAAAATAGGAAAGCTTTAAATACAAGATGAAATTCTGGGAGCCAATGGGGGAAAGCGAATTAGAGAGAAATCTCTAATCAATTTCCAATTTGAGAGGATTTGGGAGTT